CTCCTTCCCTCCTTCCCTCCTTCCCTCCTTCCCTCCTTCCCTCCTTCCCTCCTTCCCTCCTTCCCTCCTTCCCTCCTTCCCTCCCTCACCCCTCTTTCTTTCTTTCTTTCTTTCTTTCTTTCTTTCTTTCTTTCTTTCTTTCTTTCTTTCTTGTAGTACTAGGGTTTGAACCCAGGACCTTTGTACATACCCAGCCTCTTTATAAAATTTTTTATTTTGAGACAGGGTCCTACTAAGTTATCAAGGCTGGGCTCGAACTTGCGGTGCTCCTGTCTCAGCCTCTCGGAGTGTTGGGATTACAGGCACATACGGCCACACCTGGCCATGTCAGATCATTCTGTAAGTCCTTGAGGTGCAGTATCCTCCCTCAGAGACCATCAGGCAACCACGCCTTCTCCATATCAACACATGGACAACCAACAGTAGCAGCAGGCACCTCAAACTCTGCGTATCCTCCTCCCTCCCAGTCAAACCTGTTTCTCCCTCTTCTCAATAAACAGTACCTATGTTTACTTAGTTGCTCACACGAAGAACCTCAGTCTTCCTGACCTCTCGCTTGCCATATTTCTTACCCAGTCCACTGGCAAGTCCCGCCATCTCTGCCTCCTGAAGCATTTTCTCTTCCTCCATTAGTACTATGCTGTTCCAAACCTCGCTCCTGTCCCTGGTCTGTATGACAGGCTCTCAGGGCCTGCCTTCCCCTCACCAGATCGCTGGGAGACATCGCGTTGCTCCCCAGGCAGAACCGGAACACACTTTGCTTAAGCCCCAGTTTCCTTCACACTGGCCTTTTAGAGCCAGTGTGCTCTGGCCCTGGCTTGCTTTTTAAAATGCATTTCCTATCACCTGCCCTCCACCGCGTGCCTGGGTCAGAGAGCTTCTGCCGGCAGGCAGTCCCATTGCAAGGCTGTTTTCCTCATTCCCTTCTGGTCTCTGCCGGAAGAGGCCTTTCTTGGCCACTCAAGAAACAGCATGCACAGCTCCCCACCACCACTCTGCCCCCTACCTTGTTGCTCTTTTTCTTTTCATCCCACTCATTGCTTGGCATTTTATTGTGTGTTTGCCTGTTTGCCGTCCATAGTATCCACAAGACTGAGGGCCCCGTTAGGCCTGGGACATGTCTGTCACCTTCCTCACTGCTCCTCCAGCTCCTAGAACAGCACCCGGCACTAGTCCATGCTTTGTAATATTTATAAGTGAGTGAATGCACCTTCCCCGCGACGACAGATGAAATCCCATGGACAACCGACAACATGCAAAGAGGGCAAAGTGCAAATCTTTGGGGAAATATTTGAATTGAGGGCAAAAAAGGCACTCTCAGGGAAGTGAGATTTCAGCTGCAGTTAATGAGGCATGCAGAGAACATAGCACGCACTCGGGAACCTGCACAGAAGGCGCCTAGCTGGGCTCGTTTCTCTGCCTCAACTAGAAGTTTATCAAGTAACAAATCTGAACACACACCAAAACCCTAGACAGACAATGAAAACTCAACCTCTCAGCCCGAGGAGGCACTGTCACTCTTGGCCTGGAACAATAGTTTAAGGGGGGCTCAAACTAGAGCCTGAGGCCGCAGCACTGCCCAGGGTGCCACCGCTTCCCAGCTGGGACAAAGTGACAGCCCAGGACACCCTGGGAATCCGAGTGGGCTGCTTGTGGCCATCCCTCAGAAGTCAAGGCGTGATTCTTAAGAAAACAGTGAGATGCTGGAGAGTGACCCCTTTTATTAGGTTCACCATCTTAGCCATAGTGTTTGTCCACAGCCTGAAATGCTCAAAGGCCACTGTGCTGAAAAGGAGGGCAAGGCTTTAGACCTCTTTTTCACCATTAATCCTGGTCCCTGCTGGTCTCCCCCTTTTGCATCAGAAAAGCTTTCTCGTATTTTTTTTTTTTTAAAGAAGAGGAGAAAACAGCTGTGTGGAATTTGAGAATGGGATTTTAATGGTCACTGAAGATGCACAAAAGCTCCGCTGCAATACCGAAGTGTTCTGGGGCAATTGCCTCCTTTGTCTGGGCAGCAGCACAAGCTCAGGGAAAAGAGAGAAGCAACTGGACGGGTAACTGAGGCCAGATCTGCAGCACATTTGTCCCTTCGGGACATTCAGAGTCAGTTTTTAGTGTTCAGCTCATTTTTACCTTGTGAAAGAAACAAATGTTTGGAAGGTGCTTGGCATGAATTGTTTCTGAGGGTCTTTCTCTCTGGAGGGAAAATGGAAATCGTGAGTGACAACTCGGGTTGTTTATGTGAAGTGGGCCTTTCACTGTGAGGAAAGCGAAGGCAGCCCTCTTTTCCAGAGGGCAGCCCGAGGGGGCATTTCTCAGCCCTTTGATCAGCTAGGAAATTGTAACAGATGTGCCATATTGTGAGGCCTCGCTAAGTGGGGTTTAAAAAGTTCCAAGAAGAAGGGACACCCGGAGGGCCTGAGCCCGTTCATTCTCGGGTCAGTGAGAACCGGGTCTGGGCTTGTCCATCAGTAGAGGGGGACCCATGCTCTGCCAGAGGAGCCATGACAGCAGCCGGCACTGATCTGCCTCTTGGGACTAATGGGGCTCCTGGGAACCTGGTCCATGAGGGCGCTTTCCCTCGCAGTGACAACAGCTCTTCTCAAATGGAAATGGTTCTGGCTTTTATTTACCTTCTACCATTCTTCATGACAGCATAGCTCTTGAGAGCCATGAAGAAGCTGTTCTCGTAGCTACTGGCCATTGTAGACACCAGGGTAGCCAGGTGGGACACAGTGTGACACGCGTGGCCCGTTCCTAGTTCACGATTTAGCCCAGCTTGTGAGCCGTAGGCTGGAGGCAGAGTGAGTACGGATCACGAGGCAGTAGGGCGGCTTTTAGGGAAAAGTCTGGCGTTATAGATTGCCGGCCACAGATGTGTGCATCCCATTCATTAGAATGTTATTTGACAAGAAAGGAGGAGGTAAGTTCACTTTTAATTTTGGGGGTTTGAAAAAGATCATAAAATTATGTAAAAAAATTATACTTAAATATTGTAAAAGAAAAGCCAAATGCTCCCCAAAAGCACAGAGATTGAGATACTAGAGTAGACTTCATTGGTTGATGGTGTTTGATTGCAAAACTGCTGGAAATGTGGCATGTCATTGCTAACTATGATCCAAAAGCCTCATTTTTTAAAAGATTTTGGAATGAATAATGAAAAACATTTTTATTACAGATGTTAGACAACTTTGCCATCTTTGACCCTAAGATTACATATAAAAATTTCATTTGTAGGATAGATAAAGAGGTTTCCTCCTTTACAGACATATGAGAGATATAATAGTTAACTTTATCAGGTGATATTTCTTCCTATTTCTTGGCAGTTTAAGCATAAAAGAGAATGTGTTTGTACCATAGACAACCCTCGACAAATTCTTGAATTGTGATTCAGCCTGCACTTCTGTTAAATAACCTTTTTCTCCCTTTTAAGCTCCAGGCTCTTGATCTTACCGTGGGTATATTTCTCAGAGTAACTCTGTGGCCTCATTTAACCTGCATAAGTCTCTGACTCTCTAGAATGGAGCTAATAATAGCACTTCACTCCTGGGGGATGTGGGGAGGAATAAATGAGATAATGTATGCAAAGCTGTCAGCACAGTGTCTAGTTATTTACTGCAAATACTTCACAAATGTTAGCTATTAGGCTATTTTGATGGCCATGAAGATGATGCTAGAATATTATTACTAGAGAGCCAAATTTGTTACATTTATTTCATATTCATAGCCTAAAATAAGGTTTAAATCCATATTTAAGAACAAACATCAGAAATACAATACAATCATAAGCAAGATTATGAATTTCCTTATTGCTTATTCTTTTGGGAGACATTTACGGGCGCTTACTTTTCGGAGCCAGGCATGGTGGCACGGGCCTGTAATCCCCACACTCTGGAGGCTGAGGCAGCAGGATTGTGGCAAGTTCAAAGCCAGCCTGGACTACATAGTGAATTTTAGGTCAGCCTGAATGATATAGCAATATCACATCTCAAAAAAAAAAAATATAGTAAGAGTTTACTCTTTGGAATGTATTAATTTTATTACTAACCAAAAATGTGGTGTATTATACAACCCTTGAGGTCATACACACCCCAGCCGCCAGAGGGAGTGCTTTTCAAAACAGCTGTTGATCATGTTCCTTTCCCTGCAGAATCAAATCCAAATACCTGGCGCTCAAGGGCTTTTGCAATCTATCCTCAACTTTCCTTTCTTCCCTCTGCTCCCACACATCATGCATGAATCTTTATGATTTGTCCCCTTTCCCACCTGGGGAATTTCTTCTTAATCTTTCAAGACCCAACATGAATGTGAGCTTCTCTAGGAAGCTTTCTAGAATGCTACCAAGCAGAATTAATAACATCGTCCGCTCTATTTTTCCGGCACTAGACTCATGTTGAGTGAGTAAAATTTTGCCGTTATCCTCCTCTAACAGCTCTATGAAATAGAAAGGTCCAGAATTTTTTAAATATCACTTCAACTATCAAATGCTTCTGCCTCAAGAATAATTGAGACTCCTGTGATCGCTGACCCTGAGAAGCTCCTGGTCAAAAGAGGGATAGACCATAAATACGTAGAGAGACGTGCGTGGGAGTCCAGAAGTGCCACACGCTCTGCATTCAGGGGGTCTGCATGGGGTCAGCACTGTTTATTTACCCTCATTCCAGCATTCTCGTTGTCCTCTCTCAGCCTCTGTCCCTGCACTGACCAGACTGTTCCCCCTTTTGGCTAGTCAGTTGCAGGGCTGGGACATACTACGATGGAGCACAAGAACGCTGCATTTTATGTCCAAATGGAACCTTCCAAAATGAGGAAGGACAAGTCGCTTGTGAGCCATGCCCAAGACCAGAAAATCTGGGAGCCCTGAAGACCTCAGACGCTTGGAACGTGTCTGAATGTGGAGGTAAGGATGCTGGCTGTCCCCTCGTACTTCTCCAGCCTCCGGTGTCGTTGTTTAGACCAAGGCACAGTGGCATCCCAGGACTCTGGATGATCCACACTGGGCCTTAGGCTTCCTACCAGTAGGTGCCACGTTGGGTGCCTCTTTGGTTCCCCAGTGTCAACCTTTGCACCGCCTGACACGCTGGGCCAGTGCTGTCCTGTGTTCGTGAATGAACACAGGCTAAACCCACTGGCAGAAAAGTGCCGTGTTGCACTTGCACACCTTATTCACTCTAAGTGTGTGTACTTGAGGCCTGTGTGATCACCCAGTCTGGAGGGACAGTTGGAAAGTGTCTGCACGTGGAGAACGTCAGTCTGATTTTGTTTTCCAGTTTGGGTCTCAAATTTATAGCATTTTGATTTAAAACAAATGTATCCATCTGGTTATTTTGTTAAAATGGGGACCTCCTCTGTGAAGGGTTTTAATCATCTCATAAATTGTAACTTTGAAGCCAAGCTCAGCTAGGTTCTGTGGGCTTCTTTCCTATTTATTTTATTGAATGTTTTCCTTTCATTAAATGAGGGAAAGGCCGGCTGTACGGACACTCTGTGGGCTCCAATGCACAGTGTGATCTGAACGGCGATTTCTCACTGGTTGACGCAGCTGCATGGGTCCCCACACTGCCCTGCGGCTCCTTCCCGTGTCTCCCGGCCCCAGCTTAGTCCCCACGGAAGTGACTCCAAACTCAACTGTGGGGCCACTGCTGGTCTAAAAATCAGATCCTCCGGATGAGTGGGTGACTCCTAACCGTATCTTTGGCCCTTCCCTGAAATTCCAGAACCACAGGGTTGACAAGGGGGGATTCTGGGACGTCGGTTCACCTTTCTGTGTGACCTTAAGATATAGCAACAGAATATTAGTATTAAGAATGTAGCATTCAAATAATAAATAACAGTTTAATAAGTAGAATAATATTTATTAAATACCTTGGCCAAGCAAAGTGTACAACATGAATTATTTATTACATGGTTACATTGCTACGGCTTTGTGAGGCTAAAATGACCTCTTCAAGGTCATACAGCCAAGAAACAGAGGACCGGGAGTCAAAACGCACCTCAGCCAGGCTCCAGACTCCTCCCTTGGATGTGTGTTCTTTAAACACCATTATTTCTACAACTTAGGGTAAAAGGACGACCATTAAAACTAATAGAGGAGGGCTGGGGATTTAGCTCAGCAGCATAGCGCCTGCCTGGCAAGTGCAAGGTCATGAGTTCGATTCCCGGTTCCAGAAAAAAAAAACAAAAAAAAAAAAACAAAAAAAGTAGAGAAGAGATGGTTAGGAATACAAGAAACAAAAGATTTTAATAGTATTAGCCAGTGACAAGCTAATTCCTAAGGGAATGTGTGCTTTTAGGAATCCTTTTGTTATTGGCTGTGCTTTAGTCCTAACCCTGAAAAAAAAAAATCATTGTTTAAAGTAAATGTCAGGGCTGGGGATTTAGCTCAGCAGCAAAAGCGCCTGCCTGGCAAGCGCAAAGTCGTGAGTTCGGTTCCCGGTGCCAGAGAAAAAACAAACAAACAAACAAACAAAAAAATAAAGTAAATGTCACTGGGCCCCTCTGTCAATGTGGGCCAAGACATACTTCCAAACAAGGAAGCATAACTTAGTAAATATAATTGCTAGACCAGTGGAGAGCCTCAGGTCACTCCTTATGTCACTAGAACATAATCAGCTGAGTGAAGATGCACTTCTGGTTCTAATCACCAGATTTATCCAGAGCAGAGGACTCTGTCTCTAGACATTTGGGCATTACAGGGATCCCTGGGTAGTGGGCAGACCTAAATCTGAGCCTCAGCTATCCCCAGCCTTTCCTTGTGAAACCAGCAGTTTCCATCTTGGCACAGTGCCGGGCAGCACTGTGTGTAAACCCCAAGGACTTGCCTGGCCTACTCAGGGTCAGCGGCAGGCAGGGCTAACCATGCGCTGGGTAACAGGCCTGGCGTCTGGTAACAGGCCTGGCGGAAGTCTGATCTCGTCTGCAGAGAGGTAGGAAATGGTTTGCCTGGAGCTTTACTCACCTCGGGCTGTCGGTTCCCCCAGGTCTGTGCCAACCTGGTGAGTATTCTGCGGATGGCTTTGCGCCTTGCCAGCTCTGCGCCCTGGGCACGTTCCAGCCGGAAGCAGGCCGTACTTCCTGCTTCCCCTGTGGAGGAGGCCTCCTCACCAAGCATCTGGGAGCTACTTCCTTCCAGGACTGTGAAACCAGAGGTGAGCACTTGGCAGCTTGCCTTTTTCTAGAACTGAGTTTCCTTTTTGAGTACCATAGGGGTATCTAATGGAGTCTGACCAAACCCAGCCCAGATGTGCCTTGTGTGATGCCGCCTAGGGTTGGGGACCCAAGTCCCCATGCAAGAGTGCCACCTTGGTCCCTATGCAGAGAGTGCCACCTTAATTCCCGCTGCCAGGGCTAATGAGGGCAAGATCAAGGAGAGAGAAGCAGGTTTTGCACACAGGCTTCTGTGGCTCTTTTCAACCACAGCTACTCCATCTCTGTTCTGGCCTAGAGCCTCCTGTTCCACCCTGGTGGGTCCTACCCCTTCTCCAGAACCCCACTCCCAGCATTTCCTCCCAGGGAGCCCCAGTCTAAGCCCCGCCTCCGTCTGCAGCTCTCAGTGCCCACAGCAGAGCTCATCCCGAGCGCTCAGCAGCATGAACCATAAATTAAAGCACACGCACATCTTGTTCCTGTGCAGTTTCTCAGTGGGGTGAGTCCCACCCACACTGGCTGTTTAGGACAGGAAGTGGTGATTAGCCGCAGATTGGTAGGAGAGTGCCACTTCATTCAGGCACAGTTTATTTCACAGACTTTGAAACCTTTTGCATTGCATTTGATGAGAATACAGTCTTCTTTCTCTCCCTTCCCCTGCTTTCTCCTTCTCCTCCTTCTCTTCCTGCTCCTCCTTTTCTTTTCCTTCTCTTTGTCCTCCCCTACGCCACAGTTCAGTGCTCACCTGGACATTTCTACAATACCACTACTCACCGGTGTATCCGTTGCCCAGCGGGGACCTACCAGCCCGAATTTGGAAAAAATAACTGTGTTTCCTGCCCAGGAAATACTACGACTGACTTTGATGGCTCCACCAACATAACCCAGTGTAAAAGTAGGTGTTGCTCTAAGGCTTTTCGCAGTCCTGATTAGGAGGGCAGGTGTCTGGGTTTGCCTCAGGGAAGGCGGGAGAGGTGGGGGGCCCAGGGCCAGGTTTGTTCAGAGCCAAGAGGAGAGGATACTGTTAGCCGGGCTCACAGCTGGGTCTCCTCACCTGGACATGGGGATAAGAACTCTACTGGAGGTGCTCACCTTTCTTTGTATGTGATGCTGGGGATCAAACCCAAGGCCTCGAACACACAAAACACTTCCTCTATCAATAAGCTCCGTCCCATCCCTTACTGGCCTTCGGTGGTCCTGGATGCTCCCCCAGACGCTGGGACACATTTTCAGCTCAGCCATGATCAGCATTCATTGTTCGAGGACCTGACGAACCACCCTGGTGAGTAAGTCAGCCAGGCTGGGCCAGCAGGGAGCCAGGCTGGGAGCAGAGGAAGGAGCCACACACTGGTCTGGAGAGGTGAGGGAAGGCCTCTGGAGGGCCTGGAAGGTTTTATGGAGAGGCTGGGGCAGGGTCAGGGAGAGCTGCATGCCAAGAGGGCGCTTCAGGGAAGCTCAGACTCAGGAAAGTGAAAGGTTTCAGGGAAGACACCCCTGGGCCTAGGCATGGGAGAGGGAGAAGTACAGGGAGAGAGGCCTTGAATGCCAGGCCAAGCAGTTTGATTCATAGATTCTAGCAAATGGGGGCGGGGCACAACTCATTTAAGGACATGCTGTGTGTGCTTCCCTCCCTTAACCATTACATAAAATTCTCTAGTTAAGGACAAAGGTAAATCTCAGCTAATGTAGTGGGTTTTTTTGTACCAGGAATTAAACTCCAAACCTTGGGCTTGCCAGGCAGGCACTTATGTCACTGAGCTATATCCCCGGCCTAATGTAGTATTTTTAAGATTGAAAAATCCCAAGAGGCAAAGAGGCTTCCCCAAACTGGATAAGCTTGGAATTGAGGAAGGCAGTGAATTGTTTACCTTTTATGACTGGAAGGTTATCTAGTTTTCTCTCTGTGCCAATAAAGCACTTTCAACAACATCCTTATAAATAGCCATCAGTACAGCTGGGTGTGATAGTGCATTCCTGTAATTCCAGCACTCAGGAGGCTGAGGCAGGAGAATCACTGCAAGTTGGAGGCCAGTCTGCACTACATAGTAAACTCAAAACCAGACTACACAGGGAGATCCTGTCTGAAAAAAAAGCGAACCGGTTTCCCCAAATACTCACTACCTTTTATAAGATCCTAGTCTGCCATTAGTTATACTTTGGGGAAGTTCACAATGCTGGGAAATTCTCCCACATACCTGGATCACTGTGTTCTCTTGTCTTCCCACCCCAGGGCCCTTGGTGGCTCTTAGGGACTGCCACATAGCTATTGTGTGGGTGGCCCTTCAGGCCTTAGGGCAGGGTTTTTTGTTTTTGTTTTTTAACTCTGAGGCTATCCCCTCCTCATTGTTTTTATTCCAAGAAGGAAAGCCTGTTTGCTGCTTCTACTAGTAATAATTACTCCCACTTTTTTTTTCTCCCACTTGTAATTAGAAAAGAAAAAGGTCATCCCTTCAATATCTCTTGCACAGGTGTACCTGGCAGTGTGAGACAGTAGGCTTGAGGGAAAATGACTGTCTCTTAGTTCCAAATTCCCAGGGCTGTGGGTGGTGTGTTGGTTGAATGGGGATTTAGTGAACAACATCAGAGCTGATGTTGTATGGTGTGTGTGTGTGTGTGTGTGTGTGTGTGTGTGCACGCACACGTGCACACTTCTTGCCTTCGGTGCCAGAGGTTAATATGCAGCGTATCCAGAAATGACATCTAATTGGAACTCTCTTTTGTACTTAAAATAAAATGTGGTTTTTAATCTGAGGGAGAAAATAGCAAAAAAGATATTTGTTTTATCTTCATCAAGATTTTTGGTCAAATACTCCATTAAGCAGTGAACTCTGTTCTCCCTCCTTTGATGGACCTGGAAGTTCTGTCATGGGTTCCCTTGACACTTGGACTTGTCAACAAAATATTGAAAGCTAAATTTGTTCTTTTGTGTACTAACACCTGATCTTAGTGTCTCAGGTTCATGAGAAAATGTTGCCTCAGGAATTCAGGGGTAGACTCCTTGTGGAGACATCATGTCTTTTAGCTCCCGAAAGAGGCCTAGCCCATTATAGGACAGCCTCATTCCAAGGAGAGTGTCATCTCCACCTCTATTCCTCAACGGCAATAAGGAGCTATGTTTCTCAGCCACGAAAGCGGTGGAGACATGTCAGTGTTGTACCTCCATAACACATGGCATTTCCTTTTCCAGACAGAAGGTGTGGAGGGGAGCTTGGTGATTTCACAGGATACATCGAATCCCCGAACTACCCAGGCAACTACCCAGCCAACACGGAGTGCACGTGGACCATCAACCCACCCCCAAAGCGCCGCATTTTGATCGTGGTCCCAGAGATCTTCCTGCCCATAGAGGATGACTGTGGAGACTACCTGGTGATGCGGAAAACTTGTGCGTCTCCCCTCTGCTTTTCCCCCTTCTCAGGCCAGCTTGGAAGCCTGCCAGCCTGCTCCTGAGCTTTGAATGTGAGAAGTAGGCCTAGACTGTCACCCCTGTATTAGAGCACAGATGCAACATAGTTTATAGAATTGCCAAGAAATAAAACTTAGACTAAAAGTACACATTGAGGCCTCTTGCTGAGCCCCAGAGGTAGAAACCCTGAGGCCAGTCTTCCCATCTGTGCCCCCTGGCTTGTTGGGTCCTCTCCCCTGGTAATTCATTGAACAACAAGGCTCCTGCAGGGCCGGCTCCAGACATTGCCTTCCCCTGGGTAGTGATTCAAGGCTTGGCAACTGAGCAAGGCCAAAGGCGTGGTCAGGCCAAGAGGGGCCCCTCCTTCCATCCTGATGTGGCCCAGTGACCACAAGGGGACGCTGTCTCCACATGTCTCAGTGGTGGTGCTGTGAGGGGCTCAGCCAGCGCACCACAGCGCACCACCGCTACCTGCATCATCTTGAGCAGACAGCGCGAGCCTCCTGCCCTGCAGCCTCCTCAGCCAGGAAAGTGACACGAATAACAGTTGCTACCTCACAGATTTATTAGGACAAAAGAGGTTCAGATTTGTAAAATACTTAGAACAGCATATGGGGCCACTATATACAAGTTTGCTACTCCTATTGGTGGTTGAAATGCCCAAAGTCAGGTGAAGGTTTGAATCCTGACCTCACCACCTACTGGCTGTGTGGTCCTGGGCCAGTCCTTAATCTCCCTGTATAAAACCTAAGCATTTTGTACCAACTTGCTGTGGTTTTCAGAGGATTAAATGAGATAAAGTCCATAAAAAGCTCGCATCACAGGAAGCATGTAGTAAGTGGGAGTGATTATTATTAGAAAACAGTAACTCAGCTCTGGAAATGGGGGACCCTCTCTCCAGCTTCTACTGTGGATTTGACACCCGAGGTGGGTGGGTGGGTTAGCTTTGCCTTCACAGGGGTGCACAATCACCAGCTGAATCTGCGTTGTCTCCAGGACTTGCCACTCAGAGGACGCTCACGGGGCCTGCCGAGCTCCTGAGTAACCTGCACTCTGGGTTGAGTGTCCGGACAGACGAGCGGATGCGGTCTGCTAGCTCAGCGGCCAGTCTTGACCCCCACCCCCTCCAACTTCCCTTGGCAGCTTCATCCAATTCTGTGACAACATATGAAACCTGCCAGACCTACGAACGCCCCATCGCCTTCACCTCCAGGTCCAAGAAGCTGTGGATTCAGTTTAAGTCCAATGAAGGGAACAGCGCCAGAGGGTTCCAGGTCCCCTACGTGACGTACGATGGTAAGTGCCGCAGAGCTCCGGCCCTGCACATGGCAGGGGCGGCCCTGCTCCGAACAGAGTCGGCTGCTGAGCCAGTGGCCAGGCGCCGGCACGTGCACCCACTCGGAAAGGCGGCAGGGTGAGGGGAAGGCACGTCACTGACTCACATGTGCCACATTTTAAACAGGCATTTGGGGACGCTCACTAGGGATGGAAAGACATTTTAGAAAATAAAATAAAAGTGAGCATAACTTGGTGGGTAATAGCACAGACCTTGGCATCAGACAGCTGAGCTATCATCTCTTACGTGACTTTGTGTACATTACTTCCCATCTCTAAGCCTCATTTTCTTTCCTTCTTTTCTGCCTCCTCCTTTCTTTCCAGCCTCCAAGGCCTCACCCATGCTAAGCACACACTCTACCACTGACCTGCAGCTCCGGGAAAGCCTCCTTTTCTTACTGTTTGATGAGGATAATCGTTAGACTTAATGTGAGAGCTCCTGAAGGACTTGGTATAATGCCTGGCACATAGTAATTGCTCAATAATTCCCAGTTTCTTATGATTCTGGCTTTTATTTTATGGCATCCTGCAGGAAGGAAAAAAGATCTGAGTTCATTTGCTTGATCTTAAATAAAAAGGGATCTGAGGCCTGAGGCCCTGTCTGGTGCTGAGAGTTGGTTGGCCAACATTTATCAGGAGTATAAAATGAACTGAACCTTGTCCTGGAGGACCTCCTAAGCCATCTAGTGGAGGAAGAGCCATCTGTCCATTCATGAACTTACTCATGCACCCAAAAAATACGTGGTGAGCCTCTCCTATGCCAGGCTGAGGGCCAAATTCCAGTGACAGCACGGTGAAAGACAGGGACACAGAAATGCATTTATTGTCATGGACATTGGACATGGCATGGATAAAGCTCCATGTGAGCACAAAGGAGCAGTAGTTACTCTGCCTGGGCTTTGCGGGGGAACAGAATACCACATTAAGAGAGCTGAGTCTTGGAAGAGCATGCAGGTTTCAGCCAGGGGCAGGGTGGGGGGCAGAAATGGAGAGGAAGAACATTAGGAAGAGTGAACAACCTGACCAGAGGATGAAGTGCCCAGCGTGAGTGGGGCCTGACTTGGCCATGGGCAGGGAGCGTGTGGCTGAGCAGCGAAAGGCCATGAGAGGGGGCGGGGGTGGCTGTGAAGAGCCCTGAGCGTCAAGCTCAGGGAGGCAGATCTTTTAGGCAAAGTGACAAAATTAGATGTTTAGAAAGACAGCATTCTAGGGGGCTGGGGATTTAGCTCAGCGGCAAAAGCGCCTGCCTGGCAAGCGCAAGGTCGTGAGTTCGGTTCCCGGTACCAGAGAAAAACCAAAAAAAAAAAAAAAAAAAAAAAAAAAAAAAAAAAAAGACAGCATTCTGTGTCTGTCCTAAAAAAATAACTTCACATAGTTTATTTCAAACATGTGACAAAAGCTAGAAGCACCAGCCCAAACACCCAAGCCAGCGGCCTTCAGTGTCTGACCCCTGGGGTGGACTGAGAGGCCCTCCATGTGGCTGCGCTGTGGGAGACAAAGAGCCCAGCTGCCCACCGGAAGTGGCCGCCCAGCAGTCTCCTCTCTGTAGACACTGAGGCTCTAGAATAAATGTCACCGAAGCTCACACGCCTCGGTGTGGCTTTTCTCATCTCTGCCTTTGTGACACATGCAAATGTCTTGATATTTTTTCATCAAAAAATTAACCGTCGTAGCGTGGGGGAATGACACGTAACCCTGAGAGTGGTTAGGTTCCTGAGAGTGTCTCACGTGTGTCACAGTTGAAAACTGCGACTTTGACTCTTCCTCGGGCCTTCACTTGAGTCTGATTCTAAAGCAGATATTTCAAGTAAGCTTGACATCTGCTTTCCCATCCCAGAAATTACATGTAAAAGGTGGCATGAGGCTGGCGCAGACAAGCCACGCCACTGCCGGAGAGGAGTGGAAATTGCACTCACAGCTAACGGGTGAGCGGTGCTGAGTATTACTGAGTGCGGAAGCAGCTTTCCCGCTTTCTTCAGTCCTGGGGATTGAACCTAGCACCTTGTGGATGCCAGCTCAGTAGCAACTACTGAGCTACACCCCCAATCCCAAGGTCTTTTTCATTTTATTTCAATTTGACACGGTCTTGCTAAGTTGCCTAAACTCGCCTCACACTTGGCAATCCTCCTATCTCAGCATCCTGCGCAGCTGGCATGTACCACTATACCCAGCTCAAAGCACCTTTTAATGATACATTACTCACAGTCACCCCATGAAGTGGACGCAGGTATTTCCTGATTCTACACTACAGGCCACTCGGGCTTGGAAATGTAACTAGGCCCAGGTCACAGTACAACAAAGTGGCAGAGCTGGGATTGACCCAGGTCTTTGGGACTGCGGAGCCTGGTTCTCATGTCCAATGTTTCACTGCTTCTCTAAGGGCTGCAGCAAGAGGGGAGACACGGTGGCTCTTGGGAGCAGAGGAAACACTATAAGAGGCAACAGTCAGGAGTAGTGGCAAACTGCAATCTCGTTTTCAGTTACACCAGCACGGCATTCTGCGTGCTTGATGGCAAACTCGCCTCCTGGAAGGGAGCCAGGCCTCTGAGGTAGTCCCTACAGCGGAGGGATTTGAGGCAAAAAGTAAATAAAATAAAAACTTGCACCCTTGATCATATTTTGTGTTCAGTAAGGATAAGGAGAAAGACACGTGATAATAGCATAGCAGTGATGTTGTACACGTATAATTAGTAAGTATGAATATTATAGATTCAATTTCCATTTACCATCTCTTAACTGAGACTTTTTAAGAGCTCCTTCCATCCAGTTTCTTTTTTTTTTTTCCACCCAGTTTCAATGATCTCATAATTTGTGTGGCTATGTAGTGCATGATATGCATACAAAGAGGCATTTTTTAATGTGTCTGAGATTTGGAAAAGATTGTGCTTTGCATATGCTTGATTTGAATTATGAGCATGGGGAACAGGCTAGACTTTGAGGGGGGTGGGGCTTGCGTGTGGAAGATTACCACATGCACCACACTGATGTCTATGCCAGGACAAAAACTACTGATGAGAGTAAGTCAACAGGGCCCCTTGCTCTCTGGCCAACCAAATTCTCCATCCCCAGCCCCATTCACATAAAGAGGAGAACAGGCTTGCTTGGTGGGGAAGAAGTCTGACTGTCTTCTAGAACATAACTGCAAGGGCAGCGATAAGGGGCAGGGTAGAGAGGACAAGCAAAGCCATTCTGTTGGACATTCTTTCAAGAAGCTTTGCTGCAAAGGGGAGCGGAGAAGTGGGATGACTGCTCGCAGGAGAAAGGAAGTTGAGAGAGAGAGTTTTAAGATCAGAGACACAAGTGCATGCTTGCATGCTGGTGGGAAAGACCAGAGGAGAGAAAGCTCTATTGTGTCGGAAACAAAGCGCAGAAGTACTGCACAAATAACCTTGATTTGGTAAGGGAAGGTGGATCTAGTTGCCGAGCGCAGAGCTGAGCGTCACCTGGATGCACAGAGGGCTCCTTTGAGGGAAAACGGGACAGAGAGACAGGCGACAGGGTTCTCTGCTGCTGCTGGCCTTCTCAGGACCGGAACGGCCAGTGCTGAGAGCAGCCACAGAAGGGGCACGTCTCAGAACCTCATAAAAATCCAAGCAGCAAGCTTAGAAATGCTAAACCATATGGCTGCAAAATATGTTCTTTATTCCAACAGAAGACTACCAGGAACTCATTGAAGACATAGTTCGAGATGGCAGGCTCTACGCATCTGAGAACCACCAGGAAATACTGAAGGTGAGTACCTGCCTCAGGAGGGTGTGGTGGTATCCAGAGCTCCCAGCACGGTGGGAGAAGGTCCTGCCTAGTCCGGCCACCTTTCAGACCCAGAACCTGCCCTTGGCCAACATCAGCCATTCCCCAGTTTTTTATTCATTTTTTTAAAAAAAGGTTTCTGTCTTTTGTGTTAAGTTAAATTATATTTTTTAATTTGGAAATTTGTAGAAGGGCAAGGTCGAAGGGACCTGCTTATAAATCTAAGCCAGTGGCACATTATGTTTTCATATTAATTTCAAGTAGTAGAGGACACATGGCTCCTTATTTATCCACCAAATGTTAGATATGTAATTAGCAACAAATGATTGCCACAGCACTCACCTTATAAATAGTCCCCAAGGGGCTGGGGATTTAGCTCAGCGGCAAAAGCGCCTGCCTGGCAAGCGCAAGGTTGTGAGTTCGGTTCCCAGTACCGGAGAAAAACCAAAAAATAAATAAATAAATAAATAGTCCCCAAATTCCTGTTTTGCATCTCATCTGGTTGAGGGAAAACAGATTTTTACATATTAAATTTTCTTTTAAAAAGTAACACAGATGAGCTAGGAGGCTGAGGCAGGAGGATTGCAAGTTTGAGCCTAGCCTTTGTGACTTAGCAACTTAGTGAAACCCTGTCTCAAAACAGGAGTGGGAATGTAGCTCAGTATAAAGGTGCTAGGTTTACTTCCCAACCCCCTCCCCAAAAAAGTAATGCAGACTTATAACAGATAATTGAGAAAAATGAAAACTGGGAAGGAGATAAAAGTCAGAGGAAACAATTTTCACAAAGTGTTTTTCAGTTAATCAACCTACTGCCTAATACTGGGTCATTATAGTTCCACTGGCAAAATGTCAGAATGTTTAAATATTTTGGCATAGTAACAAAAATTCTCTTCTCTTTAGGATAAGAAACTGATCAAGGCTCTGTTTGATGTCCTGGCCCACCCCCAGAACTATTTCAAGTACACAGCCCAGGAGTCCCGAGAGATGTTTCCAAGATCCTTCATCCGGTTGCTGCGTTCCAAAGTGTCCAGGTTTTTGAGGCCTTACAAATGACTCTGCCCAGGTGCCGCTCAGTACAAGCGTTCTGCTGTGGGCTTGGTGGGGCAGAGCCGTCTGCCTTTTGCATGCCGGTGTGCAGCATGTCGCTGCCTCCGGTACCAGTGACTCGTCAGAGTTCAACTTCTATAGATAATACAGAGATTTTGGTAAACTGAACTTGGTTGTTCTTTGCCACCGTTGTGGGGTGGAGTGAGCCTGGCTCTCAGGGGCCCCGGCTCGCCATGGCCGAGGGCAGATGTCTTGGAGGCAGGGAGAGCTGCTGGGCTGGCCTTCAGACAGTGCAGGTGAGACTCACCTGTCCTTCTGGGTTCCTGCTCCTCCTCCGGGACCCTGTGGTGCAGAGGAGGCCGTGGAAGGGGCTGCTGTGTCTGAAGCTTCAGCTTCCTCAGCGCATGGGCAGGCTCCAACCAGACAGAACAGGCCAGGAAGGAGGTGGGGAGCCCTCTAGGGTCATCCGTCTACATTGAGACCTGGCGGTACCCTGGCTCCCCACAGCCTTCTCCGCCCCACGGGGTCTGTGATCCCAGGAGCTGGAGTTCTAAGCAGCAGTCGTTAAAAAAACACTGAAAACAGGAAGAATAACAAAACCCTCAGCCCTTCCGCTGACACCAGTGTGCACCTGCGGTCTGCCTTCCTGGCTGCCCGTGGTGCCCTGCTGCCAGTGCCCAGAGCTGGGGTTTGAACCTCTAGACACAGCTGCGTGCTGCATTCAGCCTTGGAGCTCAGGTTGGGCATGACCTCAAGGGGCTGGAGGATCATCCACCGCCACAAGGAGATTTCAGCAAGCCCAAGTCAGTACTGCCGAAGGTCCTACCTCTGCCAGGGACTTCCCGCCATAGGGGCCGAGGTCCAGATGCTGCCCAGCCGATCTCTTGTGCCTTCCTTCCCCACCCTCTCAGGGCAGAGTGGCTCTGCTGAGACGACCTGGGCAGCACCGCTAGGGAAGTGCTTGTTGTCTGGGGGCCGTGCCCCAGCAGGAGCAGCCGTGTACCCGCCTCCTCATGCCATCTCACTTTGGTTAGCACGAGGGCTAGCGATCAATCTCTAGCCTCGATCAATCTCTCCGATATGAACTTGGATTTCCAATATTATTGAGTTTTCCAACATTTAAACCCGTAGGCAAAATCTCATTACAATGGATTGAAAAAAGTCAACAAGCTGCCACTTCCCTCAGGGAAGGACTGACCCCACGGCCATAGTGTCTTGTGATTTCTGTGTTAATTCACACAACCGATTCTGTATACCAAAGTACTAAAAAAAGTTTAACAAGTATTTTTTAAGAAGACAAAGTCTGTTTCATTATTATTGAACTTGCTTTCCACCTCAGTGTTTTTTTTTTTTTTTTTTAAATTCATTTAACAGTATCAATTCTTTTTAAGTCCTAATGAGACTTTTCTTCTTTATTTGGAATTTGGTCCTCAATGCCCATTTTCAGATTTCTCTTCAAAAGTTTAAATGTCTTCATTAAAAAATAAATCACTGAAGCAAGCATTTGGAATTTGTTATGCTGGAGCTTCCGACGGCGTCTAACGGTTAGGTGGAAATAACCCACATCAGCGACTGGACTGACGGGGACAGACGGGCTGCAGTCCCATCTCGCCCAGGCATATTAGTAACTTTGTGCTTGTGGAGTGCGAATGATCTGCCGATTCCACAAGAAGGTTGAGGGGTGGGCCTGGCATAGAGTTGGAAGGAGGCTGCACAGACCCGGTCACTGTAGAGCCTCCTCCCCAGCAGTCAAAGATGACTCCTCGTTGCTTGAGCAATTGGTGGATGGAGGAGGAGCAGGTTTGGGACGTGTTTGTAGTTTTTGAACATGTCCTCGAATTCTTTGATGTTCGTTCCAAAGAAAGTTGGAGGCTACGTGCCCTCCTCTTGAATCTGGGTGCTGTGATCATTGGGTTGATAGAATATGACAGGATTAATGAATGCTTTGCCGGTTTCCTGGCCCACAGATCTAAGACACTAGCAGCTTCTGCTTCATCACTCACACTTGTGATGCCACTAGGCTTGCAAAGCCACAGCAGCCTAATGAGAGGAGCCTCATCCCTGCCCCACAGGCCGACCTGAGGGTCTAGAGGACAACAGTGAAACTGGCTGCTATGTGCTGAGCCATCTTTTGACTGGACCTACCAGCCCCAAATTGAGCTGTCCCAGCTGATGCTTCAATGGGGGGTGCCCTGGGGAGCCATACGAAAATCATGGATTTATGAGCAAAATTAGGAATACTAATTTTAGTGGTAGCACGTGCCTTAATCCCAGCACTCAGGAGGCTGAGGCAGGAGGATCACCATGAGTTTGAGGCCAGCCTGAAATAGTGAGACCCTGAAATAGTGAGAAACCAAACCAAACCAAACTAGCAAGACTGCAGTAGAACAGGAAAAAATAAACATAGGTAGCAAAAGGACAAGAAAAACCATGCTTGTGCTTTTAAGAAAAACCATGCTTGTGCTTTTAAGAAAAACCACAGCATCAGGACACAAAAATTACCCAAGATTACAACGCCCTTTTTGCCTTCCAGGAAACCCATTTAGAAAAAGAATCCCTCAAGGTCTTAAAGATACAACAAGCCTGTAAATTACTGCCCGTGCTTCTCACCTGGAAATTGCCCTCCCTCCCACACCCTGCACCCTAGGAAAGCGGCGTTACTGAGGAGGCAGCGACTCAGCTTCAAATACATGAAAATGATGTACATTCAAACACAGCCCCTCACATGCTGACCGGACAGACACCCACATCAGCCACTTTGAGATGCACCCGAGATCACACGAACATATCCAGCTCCAGACCACAGGCTGCCTCTCTCCCGAGGGCCCTCACTCCATTCTCTCTGCTTGTGTACTTTTAAGATTCTGCACAATAAATCTCTTCTGCATCGCCCCGATGCACCTTGAAAATCTCATTTCTCTGGTGGAAGTCAGCAAACCTACAACTGCTCTGTGGGTGAGGTGAATGGAGGTGCCTAACTCCTCTTTGGGGGACTTCCTCAGGCCCTATCCAGTGGCAATATGGTTGCTGTAAGTTACTAGATTTAGGGGTGATTTCTTATGTAGTGATAGGACTGTGGAAAGGGAGAAAAGGTTGAGAATTTTGCTTTGGCTGGTCCGGGTTCAAGGTACCTATTCTGTGGGACCATCTCTGTGGAGAGTTCAAATAAGCAAGGGGTTATTGAAGCTCCAGGAAAGGTCAGGACTGGAATCCAAGTTTTAATCTCATACAGTAAAGATATGAGCTTTTCCCAGGTTAAGATCACCTGGAAATGTACAATGGTCTTCTCCATACTCCCCAGGTCAACTGTGGTCCCAAAATATTAAGTGGAGAATTCCAGGAAACGTTCATAAGTTTTAAACAAGTTTTATTACAGTATATTGTTATAATTGTTCTATTTTATGAGTTGTTGTTAATCTCTTACTGTGCCTAATTTATATTTTTTCAGTTTTTTATTGTTTATTGGTACATTTTTGTATTACACTCCTGATCACACTCCTTGTGAGGAGTTGGTACATGCTGCGTAACAAACACATCTAAATTCTTTTTTCATCCCCTTTCACTCTTCTTCCTCTCCCCTCCCTCTCTTGATCTCTTGATCTCTTGATCTCCTTCATATTTGAAAAAGCTCTATCTCCCTACTTCCTATTATCTATCTTTTATTTTGCTCTTTGTATTTTGGGTTTCTTATATAAGGGAAACTGTGTGATATTGAAGTCATCTTTCTGATTTATTTCACCTTAGATTGTGGTCTCAAGGTGCATCCATTTTCCTACAAATAACTCAAATTTAGTCTTTTGGGGAGAGTACTACCCCATTCTGTATAAGAACCACATTTTCTTTATCCATCCATCTCTTGATGACATATAGGGTACATCCAAGATTTAACTATTATGGACTGTGCTAATATAAACATGGGCATGTGTGTGTCACTGCAATAGGCTGTCTTTAACTCTTTCAGGAAGTTGCCATTTTTAAAATTTTCACTAGTGCGTGTGTGCAGTACATAATGGTTACATTCATTGTGGAGAGCTGGTGCATGTATATAACACATCTTAACTCTTTTTATATCCCCTCCCCCTTCCCTCCCTCTGTCTCTTGGTCCCCTTCCCATTTGCAAAGCTGTGCCTAATTTATAAAGAAAACTCTATCATAGGTGTAGATGTGTAGGAAAAAACAGTGTACATAGGGTTCAGGACCACCTGTGGTTTCTGGCCCCCCACGGACCATCTTGGAACACATCCCCCAGGATAGGGGGAATTACTGTTTGTGGATGGAGTAGACCCCCGGGAGCTCTGAATTCTGGGATCCCCAGGGTGAGTGGCACAGGGAGCAGGACTTTGAGGAGCTACTTATCAAACAAATAGGAAGAGGCCAGAGCTGGGCTTCTGCCTTCCCTCCAAGAGGGCTCGGGGAGGAATGTGCACATCCTCCCTTGCAGCTGTGGTATTGTTCTTTAGCACTTACTGACGTGCCATATCTATGGATTTAGCAAGTTCCCCTTGAGTCTCCAACGCTAATGAAAGAGTGTTTGCTTTTTCACACCAACAGATGATTATCTTCACTTTGGAAAATTGCTTCCTCTGAATCATCCTCTGAGCTGTTAAGTGCGTAGTCTGTAGGCACTCTCTGGATTTAGGTTTGCAGGTGATTTTAAAATGTCATGTGGTAACCTGGGAGACGCAGGGGCCAGACACACCAGCAAGGACTCACTCGCCCTCTGGCAGATCTCTGCAGGAAGGTGGACCGCATGGTTGCTGGCTGCAGGTGGCTGCAGTTGGTGGGCCTGTGATTGGGAAAGCCAGGGCCCCCTGCCAGGCCCAGCTGCAATCTTCTGGACCCAGAAAAGATGCCTTAATTAGGATTGATCTGAGAGCCACACTCAAGTCTGCGCACACACACACACACACACACACACACACACACATATCCAGCTGCGTTTGGGAGGCAAATGGACCAGCTGGAGCTGAGTGAAGCGGTTCCTCAGCAGTGGAGAAAGCCTTTCACCCTTGGCCCTCCCGCCGGGCAAGCAGTCCGCTGCCTCCAGATTAGATTCAGTCTAGAGGAAGCCAGCAGGGACCGAGCCACAGAAACTCAGAGGCCGCATGAGGCTCCCTTTCTGGGTGCATCTCCCACTTGCACTAGGTGTTGAGCCCCGATTTTCCCTCTACCACCCTGCAGGCGACCAGGATCATTCCCTAGGAGATAGGCCTGCGGGACCTCAGGCACAGTGAGACTGCTCCAGTGATACCACCATAAACATAGCCACACAACACGGATCTCTTTCCAGAAAATACAACAGGATCAAAATACAGTTAGAAAATGAAACTAATTCACAGGCGGGATTTTCTAGTCGAATACAAGGGAGACAAATTAAGCCCGCCTAACTGCAAGTGATGACGGTAACTCAGTTCTGCTTGGTTTTCACATTCATTATTTCATAAGGGAACTCCAACTAGAATTATAACCCTTAGTTACTAATAATTCTTTGTTATGTGTTTGCTCATTCATTTATTTGTAACAGGTATTCATGGAGCGTCTACTAGGCATTGTAGGAGCTGTGTACAAAAGAAAACATCCCCTGCCCTTGTGGAATTTAGATTCCAGTGGGGAGAGACAGAAGTAAGCAAATAAACATATAATGTAAAGTCAAGTAGTGACAAATGTTATGAAAATAGTAGATTTTGCCAGGCACTGTGGTGCACACCTATAACTCCAGCTACTTGGGAGGCTGAGGCAGGAAGATCTCAAGTTGAATTCCAGCCTGGGCAACTTAATGAGATCTTATCTCAAAATAAAAAATAAAAAAGTACTGGGGGGTGCAGCTTGGTACTCGCTGGATTCAATCCCCAGTGCTGAAAAACAAACAAATAAAAAACAATAAAAGTAGACTTCAAAGATAAACAGTTGAGGTGGTGGGGGTAGCTATTCATGTAGGATGAGCTCATCATCCGGTCATGAACCCAGACCTCTGTAAGGGCACTGGCTCCTCCGAGTTCCTTCCCCAAGAAAGAACAGAGCATTTCGCTGACCAAGGCGCCAAACGGGGACAAGCAATTACTACAACAGGCGCCACCTAGTGGTTGTAAAATGGAATTCTGCATTTCAGGGACCCACGCTTCTGCCTGGGAGTTTAAATTTGTACCCCAAATGCGAAATAAAAAGTTGGGGCGCTGGGGCAGGGCTATCGTTTGATAACTGATTGACTACATGTTGGATGATACAGCTCTAGGAGTGTATCTGTTTAGATGTTTTCCTTTCTTCTGACCTAAAAAGTAATGATCACCGAGGACGTCATTCAGCCGTCTCCACTCCCCCCCTCCTTCCCCTGTGCCGCGTTTTACCTTCATGTTTTTGAGTGAAGACGAGTTGTCTTGGGCCGCATTAAAAAATATAAGTAATAATTATATAAATACTTATAAATGAATAATTATTATATTATTAATGTTTTGTTATAACATTAAAATCATAATAAAAACCTTAAAAACTACTATGAGGTCA